GGGGGTCGGGTAGCCCCGTGACAGGGATCCGGGGGTGAAACCCCTTCCCCGGCTTGGGCCCCGGGGATCCCCGCGTGACAACCCTGGATGTATCTCATTCATTGGAGTTAGCTCTGCTTCAGACTACTTCGATTCACGAAGTAACCACCGTAGGGATTATACTACGTGTCTAGGTGGCTTTGAGTGGCTCATTCTTCAACATCGCTATGGCGTCGAACGCTCCCAACGCTAATATCATTAGGACCTGTTATAATTGTGGCGATCCAGGCCATTTTGTCCGATGGTGTCCACATCCTCGTCCCTCTAATCCTCAGACTGTGATTGTCCCTGTCTCTAATCCATTCTCTCAAACGGCTAACTCGAACGCTGCCACGACGACCAACAATGGACAGTACTCAAGAGGATACAGTTGGCAGCAGACGAAGCAACGACTGGAATACTTAGAGCAGGCGGTCATCGAAATGAAGATTCGGCACGACGCGGAGATCGAGAAAGAAAAGAATCGGGCAGCAGAAGAGGAGAAAGCAAAAAAGGAGAAAGAATATGAGCAGAGAAGACAGCAGGAGAAGAAGAATCAAGACGACTTTAGGAAGGAACTCACGGATTCAGTACAACAACAGCTGGCCGACGTGGTCGAGCTGGTGCAAGGCAAGAACCAGGGCGCTAAGACCGATGAAGAGGTGGAAGCTCTCAAGAAGGAGATTGAACGGCTCAACAATTGTAAAAGTACAGCGTCTACCAGTAAGGCGCAGCTACATGAAAACAATGATGGATTGATCGCAAAAATGTTTGCGGAACAAGAACGGATGAAACTTTTGTTGGAGGATGCACTGACGTCCAAGAAGCGCCTGGAGCTTATTGAACAAGAGATGAAGAATGTTAAGGCGACAATAGATGAGGCGAGGGCAGAGGCTGACAGATGGCAGGAGGAAGCACTCCGCCCAGGGAACAAGCAGGGTTGCGTCGCACACAACACACCGGTTCCAAGAACATCAACAAGGCCACAAGCTAATACCCCAGGACCTACGCCTGCTGTTGCTGACTATAAAAACATGATGGAGATGCATCGCATGGAAGTAGAGGCGGTGAAAGAGATGAGAGCGAGTGAAGTCAACGCTCGAAAAGAGGCCGAACAAGAGTTGGACATAGTCAAAGCAAAGGTACAAGCATTGGAACGGGAGAAGGGTAAAGCACAGGCTACACCACGGTCACTAAGAGCAAGGATGGAAGAAGCTGCGGTCGATCGGAGTACGGAGAAGAACACACCTGCAGGCAGTACGTCGAAATCTCTGGAGAAGGAGACTTCCATTCATGACAATAGGAGCCTGAAGATATTGACGAAGGACGGACTAACAGCGATCCGTGAGAAGGAAGGAGTGAAATATGTAGGTGTCAAACAGACGGTTGAAGACATCATTAAGCATCGAGTGGAAGCGGCTTTTCCAACGGCCAGACCTGCTGTTGTCAATGTCTCCGAAGACCTGGTTGGAGATAAGGGGGCCGGGGATGACACATCCACTTCTTAGTGTCTCTCCCGGACATGGCATGTTTTTGGAACCTTGCTCGTGCTCTTTGTAAGTTAAGAAACGACTGTTATTTCCTACGATGTAGACTGTTAAATACCTTATTACAGACAGTCGTCGTTTATTTAATTCTGAATGGTTGTATCCCATGGGCTACGAAACTAAGTCATGGTATTTGTGAGGCTTGGCGTAACAACTCGGATTTGGAGGACAACGGGCCGCTAGTATATGCTCTTGTTTCACCTTGGCATAGACATATCTATATTGGCAGCACTACACGTAGACTATCTTTTAGATGGAATGAACATGTGTATCGAGCTACTAGTGATAAGTTGGTCAATGATGGATGCCGGAATGAAAGATTGTATTCTTGGTTACGACGGTGTGGTATTGAATGCTACGTTGCTATTCCTATTTGCTATCCCGCTTCTGCAGATGTGCTTCGTTACGACGGTGTGGTATTGAATGCTACGTTTTATTCGAACCTTTAGTTCCGCACTTAACTCACGAGACAAACCGAAGCGAGGTAGAAGGAAGAGGATGGGTCGAAGAGAACGTCGAAGGAAGTACATTAGAACCAGAGATGAGGTAGGTAGTACTTCGGTGATTCCGGCTACCTTGACGTCCTCCAATGCATCACGGATCTTTACTCCAATTGTGTTTCACTCTTCGATAGGTCTCGTCACCAGCAGTTTACTGCTTATCTTAGACCACTGTCATGATAATAGCATCTCGTCTGTCACTATCGTGTGTCGTGGTGGCTCGATTCTTATGGACACTTGGAAAATCTTGAAACGATGCTATGGGGGTTCGCACGTTTCAAGCAGATACGGTAGCGGGTTGTTGCGCTCGTCGAAAGGCTGGTTGGTACATGATATGGTCCTTTCTTTTAATCATATTCATTCCTTCTGTTGTCGTTACCTAGCCCTCAAGATACCTCTCGCTCAATCACTTAGTGATCCAGCTAGCAGACGCTCATTACTCCGCTGGGATTTGGAACGACTCATCTCTGCTTTCTTCGTCATCCGTTCGTTCTCTGAGAAGCAGACGCGAAGCCGATTACGGTTGATTCTGTCAAAATCTATCTCCGCTAGATTCAAGATACCGGTCCGTAAGAGGTTGGTAGTGAAGATCGCATACGATGAAATATATTGCAAGACGGCCATTCGGAGGACATGCGTAGCATTGATTTTAAAGTTAGACCTCAACGACTCATGGAAACGAATGCTTTGTAGAAGAATGCGAATCGTCTGGTGTCGTAACAAGACCATTGGCGATTACGCGCACAATTTTCGATCTTTCTCACAATCAAAGAATTTTGCTTGTCCTTATCACTCTCTCTGTAAATCCTTTCCATGCACTGATGGGCATATTGCGTTTAGAATTAGCATGGTGGATTTTCTCCCGGAATGGATGAACAACTCAAAAACCATCATCCGCCCTGCGATGGGCAATCCATGTGGCACATTGATGAATCAAATTGATAGGTCCTTTTTAGTTTTTCCATAACTCTGTGCGAAGGAAGTTGTCAACAGTCTGTCGCCCATCGATTTGGAAACATGTTTGACTGGTGTGGCTACTCCGACTGATAATGACTGTTCGTTGCTGCGGTTGAAGCATCACTTGTTGTAGATGGAGGGATTGGTTCGGTGCCCTATCGATCACAACCCTGGGGACTCTTACGTTTGTTGCCGAGTTCTATATGAGAAGGGTATATCAATGTTGTTCACTGCGAATCCGAGTTTTCTACAGGTCGATGATGGAACAGACGAGGTGGCAGTCATTTACAAGACAAGGTACAAGGAAGGTGGTTTTGAGAAGTTCGGGAAATGGAGCACCAAGGCCAGCTTCGGTAACGCATATTGTATACCTAAGCACAAAGACATTGGGAGATGGCGTCCCATCTGCCCGTCACACAGTGAAGGTGGTGCACTATGTGGTAAACGCATGGCGTACTCCATCAACGCTCTACTATGGCAGCTTCCTGAACAAATGCATTTTAACCTTCGATGCACTTCTGATTTTATAATAGGCATTCAAAAGATCAACCAGAAGGTGAAGAAGAATGACTTAATTATTGGCGCCTCATTCGACATCAAAGAAATGTTTTCGCATCTTCCACACAGTTCTATTCTGGACGCTCTAAATTGGGTGTTGGACTACTGGACGAGTGAAGGTTACCGTGGTGTGATGGTAAAGAAGTTTGGAAAAACTACGAGGTTAACTAAAGGCAATGGTGAGAATGGTTGGTTGCTTCTCAAATTCATAGCTATTCGTAACTTTGTTGTCTTCGAGCTTAATAATACGTTTGTCAAAGCTTCTGGTCAGTTGATGCGACAAACTAAAGGCATCCCAATGGGCAAATCTACCAGTCCTGCCCTTCCTTGCTTGATGTGCGCACACAATGAGTTTACCTTCTTGTCGTCTCTCAGTTCGGATTGCAGACTAGTGTCGGGATTTCGTATTGTTGATGACGTGTCAATCTTCGTTACATATTCGTCGAAGTTATCCCATTTTGACAGCAAGGCTCAGACGATTATCGACCATTTTAGGAACTGCTACGACCCTGAACTCGTCCTGGAACAAACGAATGAAGGCGATGCTTGGGATTTTATTGGCTGTGTTGTGAAAGTCTTCAACGATCATGGTAGAATCACATGCATAGCTACGCACAAAAATCAGCAGGTGATCTCCGACCGCGGTCTCGTTTTTCACAGCCTCCAGGACTTCTCCTCCTTTTCCAGTCTGCAACAAAAGATTGCGGTTATCAGCTCTTTCATGCATCGGGCCCGAACCTTCACCAACATACCGGGCTTGGAGTTCGCATACCTCTTAACACGTAAACATGAGCTGACTTTGAGGGGATATCCTGATAACTACTTTGACACAACTTTCTTAAATTTTTCTGGTAAGTTCTCTGGCTGTTGGAGCCGTTGGAGCAGAGTGCTGACGAATTGGTCTCGCCTTTTTAAAAAGCTTCTTGGGTGTTGTCGCAGACGTGGTAAGCATGGGAGCAGGGTCGTCGATGGTTACTGTCTTTTTTAGACTCTGCAAATAAAGATTTCATTTTCATTTAATTCGAAATAAGGAAAAAACATAAGGGGACTTATGATGCAATATTGGGGTGATTTTCAAAGTTTTCTAGTGCCGGGTTTCCTATAGCTTAGTTTCATAGTAATGGCAAAAGTTGTGGGCGAGTGAAGGTTGAGAGACATTGGCTGGTTTCAAACTAGTAACCTATAGCTTAGTAGCATAGTAATGGTAGAGGAATTGGGCAGATGTCCTTTAGCGTATCATTGGCGCTGCTGTTTTTAGATATTGACGATAATGTTTTTTTCGCTGGAACTGGAATGATTCATATAGTCGTACTTAGACACAATATGGTACTGAATACATTGAGGTTTTTTTAGAGATAGTAAAGTTTTCTACCAGCCGGGCGAAAAATAACAAAAATGTTGGTCTGAAAGGATTCATATAGCAGTACATAGACACAATATGGAACTGGAAGGATTCATACAGTAGTACTTAGACACAATATGGTACTAAATACATTGAGTTTTTTTTAGAGATAGTAAAGTTCTCTACCAGGCACGTGCAGAGGCACTATGGGAAACATTGGTTACTTTGTGTTGGACAAGTGGAGTGCGCTGGATGTTTTTAGATGTTGACGAGAATGTTCCCTTCTGCTGGAGTTGGTAAGATTAATATAGTGATACCTTTGCCCGCCAATACTTAGACACAGCGTAGGTCTAGATACATTGATTTTTCTCGGACGGACATTACAGCAACCTCCCGACCGACGGAATACTGCTTACTGGCATAGACTCATTTCGTATAATACGCAAGAAGGAAAAGTCTCGTTGCAAATCTGCGACGACGACTTACAAGACCCCTGAAGAGGGCTGGGCTTGCGGACCAGCCGAAACATGTCGGGTCCATGCCGCATGTGTTTTTCTGCAATATTTTAATGTCTCGTCCGGGATTTCCTTATTGCGTATCGTCTACCTCTCCACTTTTTTTTCTCTCCTTCTTCTCTTCTCTCTCTTTTCTTCTTCCTCCTCTTCCGATATTGGTATTGATTGACTCGATTGCTGTTGGTTGATGTATCTCATTCATTGGAGTTAGCTCTTCTTTAGACTACCCTCTCTGTGAGGGGAGCAACTTTCCAGCATGCCCCTGTGGCTGTTCCCCTGGCTCTGGGAGGGGAGCTACTGGGGCATACTAGAAATTAGGAACCGGTACAGATAGGGGCATTGAACATATTTCAGGCCCAAACAACACCAAAGTTTTTTCAGAAACTTCAATCTCTGTCAGTGGGGCACTGCAGGGTAAGTCGACGGTTAGAGGGGCGTGCTGCAAATAAATTGAACTTTGAGGGGCATATCGAAAATTCTCCGAAAAAAGAACTCAAGCACAACAATGGGTCTCGCTCCACTACTCTAGACTCTAGCAACGAATGAAAAAGATAACATCGCTCCACTTACTCTAGAAGGTCAAATTCAAGAAGGCCTCTCGAATATCAGACCGCTCTTTGTGAGAGCTACACGACAGGGCCCGCACGTTGTTGTCCGCCCAGACTCCAGGTGCACTCCATAAAAATGCTCAACTTTCGAAAGTCCTGGATGCGTCCCTTGAGATTTCCGCCGCTGCAGGCGGGAGCTCTCGAATCGTCAAGAGTGTCATGGGAGAGAAGGTTCTGACAACTCAAGAAATGCATTTTCGTGAGTGTGTTTCATGAGGTAGTGGAGCCCGCACAGCGGGAGCTCTCGAAACGTCAAGAGTGCCATGGGAGAGGAGGTTCTGACAACTCAAGAAATGCATTTTCGTGAGTGTGTTTCATGAGGTAGTGGAGCGACGACGGATTCTCTCCATTTTCGTAAGTAGATACTGACAGCTCAAGAACTTGAATTCCAGACCTAGCGTCTAGAGTAAGTGGAGCGGTGCCGCGCTCAGGAAATGGCCGGTTTCTAGAGCAGTGGCGTGGATGAATCTGGCCACAATGACGTCCAGTGCTTCGCAGAAAAAGTCCTAGCCAGCAGACCGAGAACTGGGGGTTCCGGATTCAAG